GCTCACAGCACGTGAACAACCAAATCGAAACTAAAGTCTTAATTATTATTGTAATATTATCTTAATATTGTAAAATTAATTGGATCTATTAACAAAATATATACAATCTTACCATCAGCATTGTATATCAACTTGGATAATATTTCATTGTAATCCATTTTCCTTTACACTTTTATTCAACAAAAAATCCTGTGAATTTTGTACATGCACACTTGATGTTTCTGTTTCTATTCTAACGTAACGACAACATCAGCTCCAGCTCATATCAGCTGATCGTCTTTAAAGCTAATTCCACATCAAACTTAGGTTCTATACTTCTATACTCCATCCACTGAGAGAACAACCACGCTTTGCGCAGCTTGTGATCACGTGAGTTATAGTGGGGAAAATTCAAACGCAATGCACCCTCCGTAAGTTGCTGCCTGCTTCTGTTAATGACATGAGGGAGTAAAATGGGCGGTTAGTCCACGCAAACCGAACAAAAATTCGTTCGACGCGTAATTTTTCTCTCCGTGGACAGAGTATATATTAAGGTATCTTTACATGAGAGCATCAAGCGTTGAGTATCAGAGCATGCGCAGTAATATGTTAAATAATTTTACTGAAATGCATTGGATCCAATGTATGTATGTACAATGGATCATACATTGGGCACATTCAGCAAACTCAACACCTAGCAAACGAGAATGGATTGAAATAGCGGTCGTAGTACTGAATGCCATTGAGAAATCAGATACATCGGAATACACGGTTTCTAATAGGTTGAAATCGTTTATTCTTTATTCCTAATTCCTTCTATTGTGCGCAGGGCCTTAATGTAAACAAATATTTGGTATTATATATGTTATCATCGTAGCATCAACGAGATAGTATAAATAGCTTCTTTTACGTTTCATTATTCCAATCCTTCTAGAAGTTTTGTTTATACTTCCGTTATTCTCCTGTTACATCTGATTTACTCAGGTTTTTATTTTTATCAGGATAGAGCATGTTGAAACATGCGAGGCGCGCGCGAACAAGTTTTTTGTAAGCGCGTTTTGAATACGGATCATATTCTTGACTTTAAAACATTACCTAACTGATTTGACTGCTATATTTTTTGGCCCCTATTCAGAATGCGCTTACAACGATGTAAGCGCAATAATATGCTATAATTTACGTTACACATACTATAGAATTCTACAGATAAAAGCGCTCTGAATACGGCCATCGTGTAGTACTACAATTGACCAAATCGAACTCATCGCAGGGGATGCTCTACTGAAAGAAAAAGGAAAAGATGCCTTTTATCAAATTTATGAAACATTAATTCGTTTTATATCATTTCTTGATCGACGCGCGTTAGTGTAATTAGCGCTTTCAATTACGCAAATAATAATTTTCCCGCTGTCAATAACGTTATACGTCATATTTCGTCATATTTCATGTCATTATTATATTATAACAGAATTTCCACGTCGTGACACTAATTTATGATGCTCGAAGTCTCGACCTACCTATATCGACTTTCATCGGAGAAAAGTCTCCGTTTATTTCACTAATTTAAAGAAGAATTGAGCGGGCTATAATTGTTAAATTTTACCGATTTCGTTCGTTGTACATCTTGCGCGCTGGCGTCAAAATTTATTTTTATAGAGCCACACGGGAACCCGCGGTGTGGATTAGAAAGGGGAGAAATACACGCCGTAGCGGCGGAAGCTTGCCGCACAGTGACTCTCAAATGATGAATTTCCCGAAGAGCGAAATCGTATTTCGTATACACCGTTGAATATTGAAAACCTATATAGTTCATGTTACATTATAGTACACAGTGCTTAAGGTGTTAAAAAAGTGTTAAAAAGTGTATATAAACGCTTTTTAGCGCTTTGCAGCGCTACAGTGCTGCTTGGATACTAATTAGATTTACAATACATTTTATAGTGAATATCGAGAACACCAGCATAATCGGCATAATGCCTGGTTTTCCTAAAAATAAAAGAAGACTTTATTCTTGTCGAGCGTTCCTGACTGTAAAAATCTATCCCGTCTTTTCAGCTGAAGATATAAAAAAAGGATATTATAAAATTCACATGAAAACTGGGTATAAATGGACGAAAAAAATATTATTCGCAAATGAATTGTATTTTGTATAGTTATGTGCAAAATTTTAGTTCAAATGGAAATTTGAAACAGCAATTTTTCAATTTTATTATTGTTAGCAATTTGAGATGTCAATAAAGTGTAGTAAACACGAAAAATGGAATGAAAAATTAAAATAAATTGTGATTCATTTTAAAATTTTGATTCATTTGAATCCATCCAAATACATATTTAAATATTCATGGTCTATTTTTACTTTTTTTAAACTCAATTGGATGAAAAACTTTCTTTTAGATTTAATTAGATTGAAAAATCGTATTTTCTATTTTGAATTGAGAAATATTCATGAGATATAGAAAAAATGATATTATTTTTAGATTGAAAGACATAGAAATATGCTTCATGTAATTCCTAAATGAATAAAAACGTATTTGAATTGAAAAGGATTCGTTTGTTTGCAAATGAAAATCTAAATCCATTTCAATCCATTCTCGTTTACTGGAAACTGGAAAATATACTAGAAAATATAATAAGTAATTAGAATTTTTCTTACATGTATGAGTAAATTTATGTTAAATAAAACAAATGTCTTTTTTATTTGTATTTTATCGTTAAAGCATGTGTAAGACTTAAACAAATAGAAACAAAGAAATAAACATTTTGGAAATATGGAATGGATTACTAATTTAACAAAAAATTAAGTTATTAATCTTAAATATTGTCTACAGGGTGTTTCTGAAATAACACTGACTACTACACTGAATTATACTATGCTATGCTTAATAAAAAACTGAATCAAAAAATTCTGTACCATTTTGCAATTTTCGCAATAATTAACGAGATACTAATTTCTAAACATTGCCGAATAAACAGATAAAATCGATGTATAAGACAATTTTAAGATATTTTTCAGTATTCTATTCAGAAATATTTTAAAGATGTTTCTTAAAGAACTCTTAAAGATATCTTAAAGTTGTTTTTGTTATATCGATTTTAAACATTTTGCTCATTGGGTAAAAAAATATTGCAAAAATTGCAAAATAGAGAGGACTTTTCGACTTATTTTATTAGAAATAACACTGTATGATTAGTGGGTGTTATTTCAGAAACACCCTGTATATGTAAGAAGAAAAGAAGAGGTAAGATTTTGTAATTTTAATAATTTGTAAGGATGCTATTTTATTTGTGCGTTTTTGTCATATGACAAATGCGTATAAAACGGAGAACGTACCAAATGAAATAGTATAGACCTAAAAGTGTTTAACACTATTTTATTTAAATTCAATTTGCCTTTCAAATTTTCACATTTTATATATATATATATA